TATATATAAATAAAAATAAATAAAAATGTCACATTCCCAACACCAAGTCAGTTTCTTGTTTTTGGAAAGTGGTTAATGCAGGAGCAAAAGATGCAGTGGTTAAAATGACCCAACATCCCCAGAAGAAATGGTATGAAGAACAAGGACATTTTGGTATAAAGTTAGTAGTCAAATTCTCCAAGGACGTCTTTTGGTTTTGCTTTTTAAATTAACAGCCAAATATATTTTTTAAACCACCTCCTTGATCTAACACTTAAATTGTCAACATTGTCCAAATTAGTGTAATTTTTTTTTCCTGTAACGTCACTTGGTTCTTGGCTACTAACCTTTCATGTTACTCTTGGATTTGTCAGTTTGCTTGCCTGTGGGGGTTTGGGCCTGCTGCCCCTGCCCACTGGAAGAGGCTGCCTGCTGTGCTGCTTTCTGCTTTAACATTGTCCAGTCGAATGTGTAGTCATATTGGTGGTTCAAGGTCCTAGAAAAGAGTGAAATACTTTACTGTAACACATCATCACTTCCTTATTGCTAATACCAAGCCTTTGCTGAAAGCCCAGAACTAGAGGTTAACTCTTTTTGTAGCTGCTTTAGAGATTATAGTAATACTCAGCATTTATATACCATCTAACTTAAAGGGATTCTTCAAGCAAGCCCAAATACCATCAAGCAACATTTTCTTCACTGTTCATGTAAGTAGTCTGTATTTGTTGAAGCAGCACTTCCTCACAAGCCAGCTTATTAACTTGTATGCTCTGAGGTTCTCAGGGTGTTTTTTTTTTTAAATATATACTTTAAAGGAGGGACTGCAGTATTGTAAATCATTGAATAAAAATTGCTGTGGATTCCAGAAACCTGAAGGGAAACTCTTGAGAGATGAGTACCAGCTCTTCTTTTGATGGATGCTGTTCACTCCACAAGGCTGACTTTCTGTTCTGCTTTTTCTAACAAGCTCAGTGAAACAGCACTGTTCCTCTCCATTGAAATCCATCTCCTGGGGCACTACTCCTAGTCCTATCACCGATCTCCAAACATAAAAAGCTTCAAACACTTCAACTGAGGGGTCAATTTCTTAAGTTACTTGCAACAGAACTTGAAGCATGGGCTCAACCCTCTAGCATTAGCGGTCAGATGATACAACTCAAAACCCAAGAGAATCTTTTCATTCACTTTTAACATTGAACAGTATTTTCCAGGTCCTTTTAAACAGCTTTGCAAACTCTGAAATGGAAAGAAAGTCCCAGAACTCCCTACACCACACACACATGGAGCAGAGCTTTCTGCAGTGCAAGTCCCACAGAGCAGTTACCAACTGGTAAAGCACTGACAAATTTCTGTACTTTTCCACTTTGAGACTGACCTGAAAAGAATACGGAATAATTGCCTCAGATACATGTAATCTGGTGCCTCTTCAAAGCGCAGGCCACGACAGTAGTTCAGATACATGGCAAATTCTGCAGGGAATCCCTGTAAATCAACAGTGTTAATCAAGCCATGGCTTGCACCAAAAAGCTTCTAACAACCCTGTAAGAAGGCAACAAGCTGTATTTCTGCCTATAATGGCAGAGAAAAATTGGCTGAAGATTCGTATGTGTAAACTCCATTTTGCCTCTAGTTATTCATTTATTTTGTATTTCAGAAAGTGGATTTGATCAGCAAGTTACCAGGTACACATTCCTTGCCCCCCAGAACTGTGACCTGATGCATATTTTGCAATCACATGTCCTCTGCTACCAAAGCCTTCAACATACACCATATTTAAAATGCTTCATTCATCCTAATTAAACCTAGTTCTTATTAACTAGGACTCTGAAAGAAGTAGTAATTGTCTCTTAAAAGATTCCACTCATGTTTCCTTGATAATCTACTTAAGCATACTAGAGGCAAGGTCAGTTACCACTATTAAGTGCGAAGACTTCTTTCAAAGATCCCCTGCTTTACATATTTATACATTTAATACTATATTAAAGCCTACATGTAAATAGGTAATAGCATACAGCATAGTGCTGTACTACAAGAAAGAAAACACAGGACATAACAGTTCAGCAGTTTGGAAGATGTTGTTAGACTGTAAGGGTATATAAACATGCATGACTAGGAAGTGCAATCCTCAGTACTGCTGTTTGATGTGCAAAAATTACCATGCATTCTCAAGGGCCTTTTAATAAGTATGCGGCTGCCACAATTCAAGATAAATCTTAAGACCCAAAGGATAGCATTGGAAAAACATTCTGCAACATGGCTTTAAAGATCACTTGATAGGTAATTCCACTACAGCCTCTATTTGAGATACAGAAGACAATCTGAACAATCTTGAAGAGGTAGAAACAAGTATATATGAGCATGCTATACAGCTTGACCTTGGTTTTATTTATCCAAGAGGACACATGTAGAAATTTCACTGTAGAAGCTGAAGAAATGAACAAGCCTCACTTAAGAGAGCTTGATAGTTTGCACAGCCAGTCACCAAGTACTGGAATGATGGTGGCACGAACTATGCCAAGAAACAGCAGCGAATGCCTGCCCTGTTACACATGCCGACAGTCTTGTTGGGTGGCCAAACACAAGGCACCCACGACTGCCAGAGAAGTATTATTCAGGAGCAAATGCCATGTGAGACTAATACATTGGCTCTAGTTTTAAAAAAAAGAGAAAAGAACGTCCATTTCACAGTATGACATCATTTGGAAACTCTTACCTTACACAAAACCTCAACAGGAGTGGACATTTTCTTTTCACTAATCTTTTCATACTTTTGCTTCTTTGTTGCAGCCTGTGGAACATGTAGGTCACAATATAAGAGATATTGTGCAACACTGGATTAACAAGGACAGTAGCAAAAAAATGACAAAAATTCTTTGGTGAACTGTAAGTATTTTATGTGAAACCTCCAAGTCCCACACACTTATTGCAAAGAGAAGAAAGGTCAATCTGGTATTAAGATTTGGACACAGTTTAATACCATTTGTTGCAGTCTAATGCTTCTATCACATGGCACAGCTCATGTAGTTCTAGCTGCTGCTTTTGTCCATTAAACAGACCAGACTTGCATTTCCATTTGCCAAAGTTCTATTAATTCCCACTCAGTACCCCATTCAAGGGCTGCCTGCGTGTTTCAGTAAGCAGCCATTACATTCATTTGCAGCTGAAGAGTTCTAGTGTTTCACAACCCACTTGCCTTTTTAGAAAGCTTGCAGCTGCAACACCATGAGTTACACAACTCTCACATGAAGAAAAACAATTAAAACATGAAAACAAATCACTGAAGTCTATGTAACAGAAATAAGAAATACTTGCCATGCTTGTACTTGGCTACCATACACGATAATACTTGAAACAAGTCTGTTGCAGCTAATAATTATTCGGTTTATTATGGTGAACTGAACATATCACTGAAGCTGAACTCACTAGATGAGAGATTATTTCCATGCTCTCTACAGCAATTCAAAAAGCCACTAACAATGTTATTTTCTACTTCCCAAAGAGGGCCTCAGCCTACAAGACAATAATAATTTGCCAAGATGACGTATGCTATTGTTCAGCATAAATTTTAAGACAGTCATACAATACACATTCTGCCTGCTGCACAGGAAGGAGAAAGAACCTTTCTTCCACATTCTATAAATATCACAGCTAGGGAAAAATTGCTTTGTATAACTGAAGCTAAGTATTACATACATCCACCTACCCAGCCCAACATTAAAAAAAAAAAAGGGTGAGGGAAAAAGCAACATAGCCTACCTTTAATCCTTGCCAAGGCAGGCTGGTTCTGTTAAAGTACATCAATACATAGCCTAGAGACTCCATGTCATCCCGACGACTGGAGAAAGAGGAAGAACACAATGAATTACAAATTTTGGCATTTCATGCTTTATTCCAAATAGCACAAGCATTCAAAAATTAAAAAACAAAAAAGAATAATTAAGAAATAAAACCTAAGCTTAGGTGCAAAGGAAGATCTCTTGCTACTACAGCTAAGACATCTAGGTGTTCAGGATTCCACTTGCAGACATGTAACAAGTCTTCACAAGCAGGAAGGAGATCCTATTCATTTTTCAAGCAAGGAATAGTCAGTAGGTATTGTGTGTGGCAAGTTTCCACCTGCAGTTACATTAGAATAATTTGGGAAACAAAAACTCTGGAAAATAAAAAAGAAACATTAAATGTCTGTCCCATTTAATTAAGTAGCTTGGATAGAATCTGAAGTTTCACCTGCAGGAACCACAGAATACATTGTAAGACAGATCATGACATTAGCCTTCACTTCAATAAGGAAGATATTTCCCTGAACCTTGCCTCATTCCTGGACCAATACTGAACATCTAGCCCCAGAAGGGCATAACTCCTTTCTTTCCTCACTTGCTAAAAAACCCCTGAATTGTCTCCATGATTTTTAAAAGGCAAGCAATATTTAGACAGGTGCATGCATCAGAGAGGTGCCTCTGCCTTCTTCCCAGAAGTCTGTTTCTAGGCAGCTAGAAAACTCCAAAGCTATCTATCCCTAGACTTCACTGAGAATTTGCACACAAACTCTCATCTAAAAGGCTTCAAATGTTTTCTGTACTGTATATGCTCCAGATCCACACTTTAGCCACACAAACATCATCATACTTTGCTACACTGCCTTCACGATTACTAAGGCTAGTACAGTTCACTGAAGTGGAAAATACACTCCACGATTTTTTTCCTCTTGGCAAAGTTGTCTCTTCCCAACTGTGGTAGAATCAGATTTTTTTTCTCTGACTGCCCCTCTGCAGCTGACATCTATTTAACATGAAACAGAAAAGTAACTTATTTTTCTCCTTCCAGCTCCCTTAACAAGAGAATCTGACAGGTATTGCTGCTGCTTTGCCACCCAGGCAGATCTGCAAGAAAACTATAGAAGTGGCAGGAAAGACTACATACCTACTATTCCCACAAGGGAATAAAAGGCTGAGAGCAACATTGCAAACAGGATTGTACATATGGGTGAGGGTAAAACAGCTCCCCTTAAAGTAAGAACAATCTGTAAAAACCCAGACAGATCTACCTCCGGATCTTGGTATCAGAGGAAAGAAGTTGTAGGTGATACTGTACATCATAGCCACCCCAAAGTAACCACTAATAATCACCAGAATGGCCTCCCTGTCACCACCTTGTGTTCCAGCTCTGACCTTTGGGGAACCAGTCGAGAGAGCTATCCCAGAGGAAAATGTTTGGCTCCCTAAACCATTTCACCACAAGGACAAAAAAAAAAAAAAAATCACTAGCTGTGCCCAGGGGTCAGGGAAGGGAAGACTGGTTCACTCCTCTTGACAGCAGCTAGCTCTGAGATCATCTCAGCTGTAACATGAAACCACAGCCAAAGACAGAGGGATGAAAAGTGATACTATGACCACAAACTCCAGCCTGTAAAACCTGCTAATTCTATTAGAATTGCAGATTTTAATCACCAACAGGATTCAGTGAACCAGTATAAGGTCATGACACAAAATTACATTTTCTGAGAAGGCAGCAGTAAATTCAGAAGCAATAAAGGGATTAATAATTTCCATCCCCCATCCAATTCATTGTTTTAATGTTTAATTTCATGATTTTGTAGTAGGAACCACTTAGTTTTGCAAATCTGTAATGACATATTACATTTGAGCATATACTGATAAAAGTGATTTTCAAAATTTGGAAAACAATAATGAACAATACTCTCCATTACTAAAACAAGAAATTGGTAACACTGCAAACAGCTCAGAACAGCTGCCATTACATATAGGAAAACATGTTCTGTAACAGTTAAAAGACAGCACTAACAATTGAAATATTCTGCCATTCAGGACTGGTTTCTCTTGATTACAGGAATACATTATCTGTTTGCCTCACTGTTCGCTTGATCTAGAGTTTAATAACTTTTAGCACATACCAAGCTGTATTTCTAATTGTATTAGAATTCTCAATACCAGAGATGGTACAAGACCTCCAACTAAATTCTACAGCTATAGTCCTTTGCAGTTCCGTTTCTTCACTGTAAGGTGCTAGCACAGCTATTCCCCTTACGAGAACAGCTTGGGTTCTATGAAGTGTAGTTACTTCAGAAATGACACCTGTCATTTACCCTACTTGACCCACATATCAAGTAGGCTTAAATAACGACACTGACAGACAACAAAATACACCCAAGGAACCTTAAGGAAATTAAAACAAATAGGAAACATGGAGCACTTTAAAAGCACCAAATATTTTTAAGGTAAATGTTCTGTTGGAGTTGACAACTAGAAATTGTCATTCCCATGTTGATTAAATTGAAGGTTGGAGGCACAGACATTCAGGGAAGTTTCAACTATGTCTAAGGAACCTCAGCATCATGTGGTAAAGCACACTATTACACTTACACACCACAATATACGTAGACATGTAAGTAAGGAAGAGAAGAGAGGCATCGCTTCATATGTCATGAGTACATAACATACTTCCAAGCAACTTAAAGTGCTATCTCCACTGGACCACTGCTAGGATACTGTAGTAACAATATGTTCGTGATCCAAATAAAATTGTGTTTGTTGATTAAGCAAAGCTCAAACATGTAACACACATGCATGTGTATATATATACATACAGAGCCACAACTATGGTTGTGTATACCAGAAACCAAAATACAGTGTCAGTGAAGTAGAAGATCTTTAAGTCTTGCTTGCAGGCAAAAAGAGAAAACAGAGTTTACTAACCTAAAGGGAGAATGAGAAAACAGGACACAGACACCAGCTTTAGAATACCCTTTCTGGCTACAGAACTGCATCTCAAGCCAGACAGCAGTGGCATCAACAGGTACCAAACACAATAAGGAAAGTGCACCATTTTATTTGTGAGCGTCCTCAGACAGATCCACATGAAAGTATAGCTTATCCTTTACAAAAAAACCAACTAGAACAGTATGCAGAACATCCACCTCATGCCTGCAAGACAGACTGCCTTCGAGCAGCATATTAGGTGCTTGGATTTCTTGCCCTACCCTTGCACAGGCAGCCAAAAAGAACACCACTTGCAAAGGGATATATACATTTATTCATATAAAATTAGTTCAGACACCTCAGAATCTTACAAATAAGATCATCTTGCAGTCTCCAAAAGCACAGCAGTAATCTCCTTGAACTCACCTCTGCTCAATGCCAAGATGTGCATTGATACTGGCATATCGAGCTGTACCAGTGAGATTTTTGTCTTCTCTGTATGGTATGTGTTGCCTTGTCCTGTTGTCCCGGTACTTTTTGGCCAAACCAAAGTCAATAAGGAATAACTTAAAGAAAAATGAAAATAGATTATACTTCTGTACAATGCAAGGAATCACTAGGCATTAGCTACATTTTAAGACATCCACACAATGTAACAGCCTACAGTTAAGAGGAAGCAAAGTAACAGTGCAGTCACAACTAGCTTTAACTAGCCAGTTCAAAAACTTAATAGTGAATTAGTTCAAGCCTTTTCTCAATCTAGTGGAACAGATTAGATTGTGCTACTCAGCATATGCATCTTAGTTCTACAACTATTTAATGTTACTCTTGTAGTTTGTATCACATTAGCTCAATAACTACAGTGCACAATTTAGGAAGGAAACTAGTATGTGCAAAAGCACACTTCACAAAAACCCACTCACACTAGACCAGCTTACACATACAAATAGTTAATGGCAGCTCAGCAGCTTAATGGAAGTGATGCATATCCTGTATTCTTCCGTATGTCTCAAAGAACATTGGCCATTCTGCAGAGCGTAAGGCCAAAACCCTCAACAGCAAACAAGACACCTTGCTTTCAATCATATGCTCGTTTCAAGACTACCGGAACACTATCGCAGCAGCATGACACACTTGCTGATGATATTAATACAGCCAGGAAGCTAGAGCCTAGTACATGGAATCCAATTTAGGTTTCTAATAACCAAGCTTGCCCAATGATTTGGTATTTAGCAACAACTGAGTGCGTGCTAATTAGCACGCTAATAGCCAGCCTATCTACTAAGGTCAATACAGACTGTACCTTCTTGCGACAAGATTTCAAGACTAGGCAAAAAAAGCTAAGGCAGAAGTACATAAGGAACATTTCAAATTCTAGCAATCAGTCTTCAAGCTACAAATCATCAGGCTGAGCTCCCGATTCCACCATTGGATTAATGCTACAGGATCAGGTACTACAACCCCTACAGGTTAATGAATAATGCAAAAGTAACTTGGGTAGGGGAGGGATATGATGGAAAGAAGAAATAATGTTCAAGAAATTCTCAATAAAAAACTATTCAGTATCGCCTTACAGGTGATTCTAGAATAGAAGATACATAGTTTTAAATGCAAACAAGTGCTGGAGATTGATATGCAGGTATACCTGCATCCAAAACTGAAACAAAGGGTCATTCTTGCACACTAGAAGGGCTGTGAATTATAAAGTGACACTCGACACAGAAGTATCAAAGATACTGAAAGACTGAAAGTTTCTGAATTCCACGGTAGGTATGTTTTAGAATTCTGGCTGAAGATGATTTTCTAACTATAATAGTCTAGACAGGAAAAAACAAAGCTAAAAACCTCTTAAGCCACTGACGTTGGAGCAGAAAACCTTAAGTCTTGCCATGATTTATATGCAACCACAAAGCACAGCAGTTCTACATTTGCTGTCCTAATGAAAGTCACCCTGAAAATCCTAAATGTTTTGAGCAAGAGGAGGTAAACCCAAGCTGTTACATCAACTACATTGGTCAGACAGTTCAGCAAAGTGGGGGGGGTCTTGTCTTTGTTGCACCCACCACAGCCACCACTAGAGGTAGTTATTCGCTTAGTGAGCATGGACATGTTCTCCAGCTACCAGGAAATTAGTGAATTTTGATACTAAAGTAGATAGTACAAAGCTTTATGTTATTACTACACTGCAAATGCAACATTCCTAGAAGCAAAGCCTGAGCTCAAATGCAATCCTTTATTTTCTGATTAAAGCTCTCTGATCTGGTAACAGCCTCTGATATATAGTTAGCAATAGCTACTTTTGCAGCGCCTTTGCCCATTAGTTTAAGCAAAATACTATGCCTTGAGAAGGAGGGAAAACCAAACACTATACACATCAGTCAGAATATTTTCACTGCATGTTTAGTTACAAACACTTTAAACCACTCAAAGCCTTCATGTGCCTTCCGTAATCCTGGGGATCTTGCTGTTAATTAATGGTACAAATGGACAAAGTCACAGTTCACAAATCAAAATAGTTAACACTGGATGTATGCCTCATACATAAACAGCTGGTGTCTAGCCCTGTTTAGCACCAACTTGGTAAGACTACTTTTTTTCCACAAGAGTTATAAAAGTAAATAATGGTCTGCCTTTTCCACAGCTGCTACAAGCTCTATCTATTAGACATGAACAAGGTAATTTTGCATTCTCCAAGAGGTATGGGTAGAACCTCTTTTAAAAAAGGAATCAATTCAGCAATACAGATCTGTTTTTCACTAGTCAAGTAACTAACTGGACATGATTTTATGGTACTGATTTCTCTGGGGAAGTTACTCTGTTCCCTAGCTTCGGCTCATTCTGTATTTCCCATTCTAGATGGGTGGAAGGCAAAGGAGTAAGTCCATCTTGTAAAGAGTTAAGTTGGAAGATACAGCCTGATTTGGATGAGCATGGAACATATTGATTGTCTGCCAGCAGGAACACAGACGCATTCCCGCAGATAACCTCATACCACCTTAATTCTTAGGAAACTGGAGAAGTAGGGCAAGATTTTTGCCAAGAGCAACTAGAGAAGTAGATCAAAGTCTCTGCCTCAACCGATAAGAAAGTTTCAGAAGGAGACAACAGAAGCCTGTCAGCTTGCGTACAGCAACTAGCTGTCTGGGATTTAATACATGAAGACTATCATTGTGGAAAGCTACAGACGGATTCTATGGCCAAACTCCTCAGCTATGATTCATATTCAGCAATTTCCAGCTGTCCTGCTATGAACTGGCATGTGTCTTCATTTCTTTCCAATTCATCTTCTCTTTAAGAGTCAGGAGTACTACATTTAACACTACAAGATAAGTTCATGCTTCTCCAAGGCACAGCTTGTTGGAGTAATTTCATTTTGTAAGCACAATGGATGAAAATATGAGAGTCCTCATTACACATTTGGAAATATTTTGAACAAAAACTGCAAAGGAAGGAGTCTGGCTGAAGCGATAACAGAACTACTCCACATGCAAAGACACTGCAGGAACCCTACAGCAAGGCAAGCAGACAGCCCTATGCAGAAGCCCTGCTATTTCACTAGGGTGGCATGTCTATCCTTCAACACATTCAATAGATTGCCTTTGAGTTTTAAAGGACAAAAAATAAAACCTGCATCTGAAATCAAGCACATACATTTAGCCCTTTTTAATATCAGTTTAGAAATAATTCCACAATTTAAACAAGCGCCACAGGGAAACATCTTAGTAATGTTACATGTTTGCCAAGTATGTCTGAATAATGCCAACATAAGAGGTGCTTTTGCAAGGTCTACATTCTCCAGAGAAAAAAAACAAAAACAAAAAAAACAAAACCAAACCAAAACAAAAAACCAAAACGAAAACAAAAATAAAGCACATGAATTTGGGGTTGAGGTTGGAATAGGAGACGGTTCAGACCTGGTTTAATCCTGAGAAAGATGGGTCCTGAGAAGTACTAACAGTCATGCTTCTTTTCCTCTTCCCCACTGGAGATTCTAAACACTGAACAAACAATAGAGGGTGGCAGTGCATCAAACAGTATTGCTTACAATGCAACAATGGCTGGCGCAGACAGGCAACACCGAGGCGTTCGAGAAAGAACAGGGTAGCCAAATGCCATCCTTCTTCCACCAAGCACTGTACTTTTCAAAAAACTATGTATGTTCACATTTTTTAATTTTTTTTTTCCAAGGAGAAAATTTGAAAGGTGTGACAAGGTAAATTTCAACTGTGAGCCGCTCCAAAATGGCACTGCCTTGACCAGGGATAGCAATGGTGACATTTGGCTCTATTAAAAAAGGAAATTAAAGTTTTGCTTACAAAAGCATCCTTTGGTTCCACAAACTGCCCTTCCCCCAAAAGACATTTAGAAAAAGTAAATCTTCAGTAAGGAAGAGGTAGAAGGCATTTAGTCACCTTAAAGTTTACTTTCATAAGCATGCAGGGCTTATTTCTAGCATAGCTGAAAATTCATCTTTTAAGGTGGGAGCAAAATTTCTCCCAATCACCAAATTAAAATTTGAAAAAAATATTTTTTATTTTTTTTTTTAAATATAACTGACAGGAAGCTACTGGAACAAGATTACCATGCTATTCTAGTCTTTGTGGCTGATTTTCTTCAAACTTTGTGCAGTCATCTCTTAAAAAACCCCAAACTACACTTAGTTACAAAAAGAATCAATGTAAATACTGTATGGTGGCAAGTGTTCCTCAAATAAAGCACTTGGTTCCAAACTGAAGCAATCCATTCCTTATTTTGCTCATGTAAACCTATTGATTTGTGTTTCCATCAGAACTACCTAATCTCTAAAATCCTGCAACAGTAACAAAGCCCATGCCCACAGTGTTTACCACCATATCATTGCGTGGCTCCCTAACTAGTCTACTAATGGGGAAAAAATCTAATAGTTTACAGGCAATTTTGGTTTTCATTTCAGCTGATGCAAATCTAATGTGTTCCTCCACTAAAGTAAGCACAGTAGCATTTTCTAGGCCATTAATCCACATCAAGATGAAATAGAGTGCAACAATGCCAACCTGGCATGACTGTGCAACAGTATAGAAAAATGGCCCAAAAAGAACAATTGGAAATCAGAAACTAAAACTAGGAAAAAATTTAAAGTTTTCAAGTTATACTCTAAGTCATGCCAGAAAATTAAGGAGCCTAACTGCTCAACACAGCAGAGAAATAGAGCTCTACAGAGTGAAAGTATGAAACTTGGGAACAAGCAAAAGTTTAACAGCAACAGGATTACATATAGACTGCCTTTCAGCTGGACTTACAAGCTTTTCCAACAGTGGTTGTATCTAAACATTCAGTGCACTGCACCTCTTCAGACAACAGCTGTTATCTCATGTTAATCAAGCTTTCCCCTTCTAATGTTCATGGCCCTGAAGTTGGCATTCATACAGGCAAACAAAGGTAAACATTTTAAACACTAGTAGTGCCTAAAGAGATGAGATTCTCTGATGGCATAGAGAAGATAAGTGGGAATCTTGCTTCCAATAAACAGCTTGATCACATACATTTGTCCTGAAGTTAATTTCTATTAAGTAGCATGCTTAATGCATTGCCAATGCTGCCTGTCTGCCCGAGCTCGACATACAAATTGCAGGATTAAGCATATTTCACTCAAGAGAACTAAAAATAAAAAACAGTTTTCTTCTATATAAGGTTTTCAACGGGAAACATGCACTTCTGACTACGTTTATCCATCCAAACAAGTGCAATAACCTCAGCCCGCCCCCCACCCTGTTTTTTTTTCCCCCCACAAAGTAAACAGAGCAATTTGCTGTACAACATATTCAGATACTCTAAAACTAACAGTTTTCTATCAACATATTTACATAAATTCACTTATTAAGGCAATTGATCTACATGTTGGCTGTTAGTTGTATCCACAATTCTGATGGCTGAAGAGTTCTCTTTACCAGTCTGTCACTGCAAGACTTAATGCCCTTATGACTGGTAGGTCAGGAGCTCCCACGTTGGCACAAATTCTTTTCATCCCAGGAAGTCAGCCCCAAAGCCAAAGATAAGATTTTACTTTATCATTGAGGAAAAAAGATGCTATTACAACAGTTATCTTGATAACGAAATGCCATCAAGAAGAGTAGCTAAGTATTCTCTAGGGTTTGTTTATAATCTTGTTGCAAGCCTAGAAATCATCTTGCAATCGAGTGCATCTCACAGGGTGGGTCAGAGACCCACGTCTGCCACTGCATTTAGAAGTGGACGCTGAGAAATCCAATTTCTCACATCAAAGAATCATGGTTTAACATCCAAAACATCAGTTTTAGCAATGAGTTTTAAAAAGACTGTGCAGCTTGATTCAAGTAACATAGCCATTTCCTTTGGATCTTTTAAACAAAGAGCATCAGACTAACCTTATTACAGTGACGCCCAATACCCATTAGGAAGTTATCTGGTTTAATGTCTCTGTGTATAAAATTCTTTGTGTGAACATATTCAATTCTACTGATCATCTGTAAAAAAACACAGGTAAAATTTCAGTGACAGCAATACAATTCACTTAAACCTTCAACGAATGCACGAATTTTTAGTGTTACCTTACTCTGCAACTTAAGTTTCTATATTTACTTAATGAAAACCAAGGGGTTTTTTAAATGCTGTTCAAATAACTTTATCTTCATGTTAAAATCCACAATCTTCACCAGGAAATGGCAGATTAAATACCTGAAACTATTTCACAGACATTCAAGTTCACGTTCTAACTACAGTGTCCCATTAATTTCTTTTCCTTACTTCAAACAAAGGTTTTTCTATACCTACCACAATACAATTTTAAAGCTCATTCCCTCCCCCTGTCCCAGTTATTCATTCATCTGGTTATTCATTCATCATCAAGTGTCACTTTTCCAGGGAATAGTTTTCACAGAGCAAGTAACAACTTGATTGTGGCCCATACTGTCATATCTAGGCTACCGTGATCCAGGAATAACAGTCAGCAATGAAGACTCAGAGAAACTCTGGCACATCTGCATCATCCCATATGGTCGTGCGATTTCCCGTGCGTGAGATCACAGCACATACATTTATGTGGTACAGCTTTTCAGCTACAAAACACTCTTCGCACAGTCTTTAGCGAGTTGGACTGTTACAACATCATACCCTTGACAGCTGTTCTACTGGACTATGACCTAAAAGCCAGTTCTGTGCACTGATATCATACATCCCATCTATGTTTCCCAGATGACAACTAATTAGCATTTGTCATCCAAAAGAATACTGCACAAAAACCATACAGATTCCCTGGAGATGCTGTAACACCCAGGCTCTAGCTAACTGAGCAGGCAAATGGCTCTCTAAAGCAAGCGTACCACTCACTTAAGGCAGCTGAGAATAGGGACAGCTGACCTTGTCTCCATACAAATGCCATGAGCTTCCTTGGCCAAGAGCCTGAGATTCTACGAGCATCTGGCTACGTGACAACTTGGTACTAACATCAATTACGTAATATTAGATGAAATTTAAACTACCATTGAAAATCCAACTCGAGAAACCTTTATTGCCTTTCAAGTAGCTGAAGAGAGCACAATCAAGCTATTTATTAAATAGCAAGAAATAAATATGGCTGGTCATTTCAATTGCTGTACTCTCATGACCATCTTGAAAAAATATCAATTGCTAGAAAGAGACCTAACAGACCTCCATTTTAGAGGCTTTGATCAAGTTTGAGGTAGAGTGGCATTTCCACTAACAGCTTTAAGAACTGTCTTTAAGCAGCACAACCACCAAAACAGTATTTGTTAGCTCATGGTCTGGTACTAGAAGTTACAGGAGGTTGTGAGCGCATAGTGACAGTCAGTAAGAACAGACCTATACACTTGCATGTTGCCCACCTGTCACCACAGCTGACCAACATGTAACAGGTTTCCATTGAATTAGATCAGCCATAACTGGAGACTGCTTCAGACAGACCTTTTAACACACCCCCACGGCTGATACAAGGAGTTAGTGTCGATACTTTATTAAAGTTGCACTTGCTAGATCTGCAGCTTTAAGGAGTTGGTATCTGCGTTGCCCTCCCACTACAGGCCTACATTCATTTTGTATGCCACAGCACACAGAAGCCACCATTACTTAGTTCCTATATAGGTCAAGTCTTCACTTAGCTATATATACACAACACTGCATAACACGTTATTTAACCCACTTAGAGAACCATGTTGCACAAAATACTTCAGGGGTTTTAACTTTCTCACAGTAAAACTTGCACGTACCTGGTCTGCTAACATAAGTACTGTTTTCATTGTAAACCTGCGAGAACAGAAGTTGAATAGGTCTTCGAGGCTGGGACCAAGAAGATCCATAACTAGAACATTGTAGTCCTTTTCTTGACCATACCACCTGCAAAAAAGAAAATTACTCAGCATTAGCAGGAATCTTAATAAAGCTCTCTTGGCTGCAAGGGCACATTGCTGGCTAACATTCAATCCTGAAAGCTAACTAAAAAGTAGGGCTAGTAGTGTCTTATTTCTCCTGGAAACAAAGTCTGAGGACAAAACAGAATACACAAGTCGGCAAGTGCACGTGCCCACATTTCATTTTCCTCTTAAGAGGAAACATTATTACACTTTAGCAGCAACTGAAATACCAACCACAAAAATCAAAATGCAATCAAAGCAGAAGCCATTACATGTCAATATATTGAGGTTCATGTACAGTCTGAACTGAAACTCATCTGCAGGACACCTTATGCTTCTATCATTGTTTCCTGCATTATTTAACTTCACAGAAACATCTTTAAATGCTTTAGGCTTTGTTTTCAGCTATGACTTAACTGCATGAACTTGCTTTGGTCTGTTGCAGAGAACTCGTGTACTACCTCTTCCTTAATTCATCCAAATTTAACAAATGGCAATCACATTCTATCATCCTATTAAGTAGAAGATAAAGGCTCTTCACTAGGTTTTCAACATCATAAAGGGAAAAATGTGTCACAAAAGCAAAAATACAGATGTAGCAATATATCAACTGCAGTCAAACAGACTGCGATAACCACCCTTAAGTGCCTGATATATCAATTTGGGACAAAAAATTAAGTGTTACCAATGCTGTGAGGACAAGCAGAAGGCCTGCCGTGCATATTTTTCCTTCCAATCCATGTCTAGCATTTCTATCATAGTATTGCTTCATGTCACCTGCAATGCTAGGAGAGTATTTTATCACCTAAGCTGCCTCAGAAGACCTGTAGTCACATTCTTCACTTCTGCAAGTCTCAGCTGTGAATTTCCATACTTTAAATGGGCACTGAAAGACAGAACCTGAGTATTCCTTTCTACAGTCCTTCTGCACATTCCAGGTTCCCACAGTTAAGTGAGAGCTGTGTGTGGAAAAACTGTTTATGAAGCTGTGCTGAGTATTAGTACATGACTGTAAAGATTCAACACCTTATTGATCAAAAGACTGTATTTTGCCTTTGCTAGGCATCTAAGCCCTCATGACAAGGACCTAATACCAGCAGTCAATGGATAAGGCACTGAACAGCTCTCTCCTAAGAAGTTTCCAACAACCGTAGTGCAGACAAGATATACCAATAATATACCCCATAGTAAGAGCATGCAGATAAAAAAAATCAGCTCAAGATTCAGCTCAAACACAGTAGTAGCTGGGGCTTGAAGACCTCTATAGTCATTTTATTTCCACTTTAGGCAATGACTCCAAGAGACTAATGCACAGTTGTCTGGAAAATAGTTACCACTGATAAAGCCGACAAATTCCTTGGTACTCAGACGATTCCAAGCTTAGCCAGGGGAGTAAAGCAAAATGTTTATAAAACCACAGAGAGAAGATTCTATATTTGGATTTGTTTCAGGAACTACTGGCCTGTACCTTCCTACTGTTAGTATTCTAGTAGAAACCATGCACTTTTATCAAATTTATAACAACGTATTACAAAGTTATATATGGGCTGTGGATCACACCCACTGTTTTACAAGTCAATCTAGGACATTTATTCATTCCCTACATCAACAGGGGATGCAGTAAATACGTATTTTGAAAGCAGTCATTCAAATGACATGTCAACAAAACAGCTGTCTTCCATGTTAACGATCATACTAATACTCTAAGTACTATTTCGCATTTTTGCCTTCTAAAATTTCATTGAATGTACTATGATGGACAAAAATACCCCAACTTACAAGTGACTCATCTGGGAAAACATGCTAATGGTATTACTTGCTAAAGTCTAATTTATGAAAAGTTTAATATTCACACTGCAACCTGACACCAAGCCATGAAATGCATGCATTTTGAAGAGACCTGCCTAGCTAGGCCCTTTTAAGGAATGAATGGAAGCTACTTTCAACTGCAAGAACGACCAAGAAGAATATTTAAAAAAAGCAACGCAGAGAGGGAGAAAGAGTCAAAAATAAGATGCTGTTGAGAAAAGTTCTTATCCAAATGCAAACCAGCTTCAATTAAAGAATTATTAACTATATCTGTAAATCTACTTCTTGGTTCCTATCAAAGTCACCTATGTAAATGGCTGAGAAGTTTTGACAAAGCTCTATAAACAACTCCATAGGTCACAGTTGAAAATGAAACATTATCATCTAGAGCAATGAAAACTGGACCAAATGACCTAGTTATTCTGTCACATGAAATTTATGTTTCTTGTGAAAAAGTCTAAAGAATAATGAGCTGAATTGAAGCATTCTGAGGAGTAAATCAAGATCTAGATAAAATATGGTTTTCAAGAAATGGAAGTTCAATTCAGATGCTGAATTTAATTGTTCAATACAGTAATGGTTCAGTGCCCAAGAGACTGCAGTGTAAGGGAAAAGGATCAGTCTTCAACTGAGCTAAGAAAATTTAGTTACAGCATCACAGAAAAAGTGAAGCTGATTAAGAGGAAGCCTACCATGGGAGCTACATTTTAAAAAGCATTTGGTGGTTCGACAGAAATCTCTCTGCTTAGAAAGTGCAGCAATTCAGGTTGATTGCGCAACCTCCATTTGGACTACTTCTACATATGCACACGAAAATTTTAATCTCCTGACCATTTTGCACTGGTAAAAAGCAGAATCAACTCTGCAAGACAGAATTAAGATGGGAACTCTTAACATTTCATTTTCATGTGTACCTGCCTGTAATTCCTCACAGAAGACTGCCCCATGTATTCATTTCACTACTGGCAACTAAAACTTCTGCAAGGGTAAAGGAGTAACTTGTGCTTTATTTACTTCGTTAACACTGCAAGTAAGTTTTAATTTCCGTTGGAACATTTCCAGGGAAAATGGGATTAAGAAGTAAGGCTACATCATGTCCATTCAAAGTCTAGTAGCTGCTACTACTGGCAGCTCTGAGTAAAAATGTTAGAAGTCTTGGCTCTTCTTAGGAAACCTTGGATATTACGATATCTAGGAGCTTGGCAAGTACTCCTTACTCCCATATTCACATAATGACTGTAAAATGGCATATAAATAAAGATTTTGGATGAGCACAAATTCAGAGCACTTTGGCATGCAAGTTTTAACACTACTGGGCTAAAATGCAAAACAATATGGCAACACACTGAGCACAAATCTAAAACAAGGCTGTCTCAGAAATCTTCAAAAGTTCTAATGCTGCATCAGCAACGAAAATTGGAGTGAACTACTAATATAAAGGAATAATCCATACAAAGCTCTGGGCAACTAATAGCTGACACTAGCATCTCAGAACACAAGTGTCCCACATGTCTGTTAGAGCTCCATGGACTTTTTTTTTTAAGCACACCTGGAAGTACACTCTCTCATACTAAAGTTGAGGAAGCAACAGCAGCAATACATTGTAAGCAGGGAGAGTTTTGGAGGGGAGTGGAATGTGGGAACAAGAGATTTAACTACTTGACAGTTCACTTTAGGTGGGTAATGACCCTACACACAGTTACACAAAATGTATTATTTCAAAAAGAGAAGCTAAGTTACTAGATTAGGAAAACTCATTATTTCTCTAGTTCATTCCCACAGTGTTATACGTCCCATTAGGACGTATTTCCTAAATAGAAAATTTTGATTCTGTAGTATACGTCCATTTATACCTACTAACGGCAAGAAAACCACACAAACAGATTATTATCAGCTTTCCAAAAGAACAGCAGTAGATGACCTTATTGCAGACTTCACAAAACATTAACAGGACAATATTATTATAAAGAGCTAAGAGTTATCATCAAACAGGCAACATAACACTGTAATATCGGATACAGCTAATAAAAACCCTAGTCCATACTCAATCTGTAAAGCGTGACCAGTCTCACACATGCATGAAAATGCTTTGTCACTCTCCCTTGCCTCATCTGTTTAAAACTACAGATCAAACTACTACAGATCAGTTAGAATACAGTAAATATCCTTTATGCAGCTTTCCTTCAAAGCATGGTTAAAGACAGAACACAGTGACCTTAATTTGACTTCAGTGACTTGTCTAATTTGAAAGACCAAGACTCACCACGTCAGCAAGTTTCCAAATCATGTGGTTTAGCAGCCTGATACATTGCTCCAGTATATGCACACAGCTGAAACTTTTCATAACATCTTGAATTTCAATATTTGTACCTCTATGCTGAACAACTAAGTCACATGACACACTGGTTTGAGAGTGTTTGGTTTTCAAATCCCATAGAGTAAAGTGGGTATGATGCCAGATCACATGACAAGTGAATGTTTACTTGAACTCCTGTGGGGTGTTGTTTTTAATTCCCTTGACTAACCTTGAGACAAGCAAGTGAAATACTGATGCACATCTAGCACTTAGTAGTAAATATTGTAGTCAGGTCTACCCAAACTTAAAATCCTTCTCTGTTTTCAGAGCTGCATGCTTCAAAAATTGTATGATGTCTATTCTGGCAACTGCATATTTCATAAATAATGCCAATGACAAAAGAAATGTTTAAGAAAATGTTTGTTAATAGCTTGCTTGTTTCTTTTTAACTGAGAAAACTTTTCATTTGGTTATTGGAATCATCTCTTCACATCTAGTGTATCTTCCTTTGAAAGGGTCAAAATTGAGATAGGCCAGTTAGTAAAGAGGCGAGCGAAGGGCTAACAGAATTCAGACACAGCCTATGAAATTATAGTTTCACAATTATAGTAGATAACCAGATGTTTCATCCATTACATTGACACTTGTAATTAGAACAAGAAGGTAACAAAACCAGTACAATTATCAAAGCTGTGTGAGCTGGTCACATGCTGAATAAAATAAAAGATTTCAGAAAATTCACATAATCTCAAATTCAGATCAAGATTAACTAAGTTACAGCTGTTAATCACTGGTAAAGACACCACAAGTCCCATGCATTCTGAAACCAGGAAGGCAGTAAAGGCATTGTCACCATTAGCATAATGGCACATCATTTC